TCCGCAGGGCCACAGGGGGCGAGGGATGGTCAGCACAGGTAAACTGCTGCGTTTTCGTACATAGACAGAGCAAGTAAATATAAAATATCTGAGAGGAGAACAATCTTGATTTTCACATTTCTGTAAGAATTGACTCATATTCCTGTTGGTATAATACAGCTCAGCACTAAGTTCAAACTCTTCTTAGTTCACTGAGAATCCTAAATCCCCCCAAAGTCTTCAAAGAGCAGATTGAAAACCCTAAATTCTCGCCCTGGCCGGTTTGGCTCAGCGGTTGGAGCGTCGGCCTGCGGTACAGAGAGGCCTGGGTTCGGTTCCCGCTAAGGGCACATACCTCGGTTGCAGTTTGACCCCGGCCCTGGTTGTGCTCTTGTCCCCTGCAACCCAGGTATGTGCTCTTGACCAGGAATCAAACTTTTAATTAAAAGTCTCCTGCATGCCCCCCACTGGGGATCGGGCCCACAACCTGGGCATGTGCCCTGTCTGGGAATTGAACCAGCAGCCTCTTGGTGCATGGGTTGACGCTCAACCACTGAGCCACACCGGCTGGGTGTAAAAATATTTTTAATTAAAAGTTTACTTCAGCCCTGGCCAGTTTGGCTCAGCGGTTAGAGCATCGGCCTGCGGTCTGGAGAGACCCGGGTTCGGTTTCCGCTAAGGGCACGTACTTCGGTTGCAGTTTGTCCCCGGCCCTGGTTGGTCGTGCGGGTGGCAGCCACTCGATGTGTCCCTTTCACGTCGATGTTTCTCTCTCTCTCTCTCCCTCCCACTCTATCTGTACAAAAAATGGAAAAATGTCCTCGGGTGAGGATAAAAAAAAAAAAAAAAGTTTACTTCAGCCCTGGCCGGTTTGGCTCAGCGGTTAGAGCATCGGCCGGGGGTCCGGAGAGACCTGGGTTTGGTTCCCGCTAAGGGCACATACCTTGGTTGCAGTTTGTTCCCGGCCCTGGTTGGTCATGCGGGTGGCAGCCAATCGATGTGTCCCTTTCACATCAGTGTTTCTCTCTCTCTCTCTTCCTCTCTCTCCCTCCCACTCTATCTGAACAGAAACTGGAAAAATGTCCTTGGGTGAGGATTAAAAAAAAAAAAAGTTTACCTATATGGGACATCTTCACCTCCACTTTTTCTTCCTATCCTCATTCCTGGTGGGGGTAAGGAGTGGATGTGAGTGTCTTTTGACATAATACAACATAATAAAAATCATGCCAAGGGAAGTAAAAAACAAAAAAACTGACCCCACAGATTACTTACTGAGTATACAGGAGAAAATATGTCATTCCAGTAGAACAATCTGATAGTCGTCACTTTAACCCAGTGATGAAATTTATAGCATTACTAAGAGTGGGACAGCATGACATTTTGTGCCTTCTGAATTGATTCAATGTGAAGTACATAATGTTCCCCATAAAGTGTTCTTGCCAATAATGTTTAACCTAAACCTAAGCAAGCTTCCTCAGACCCGGCTTTCAGAGTGCAAGCAAAATAGGGACAAGTTGGCCCTAGCATGTTTGGCTCAGTGGTTTGAGCATCGACCCGTGGACCGAAGAGTTGCAAGTTTGATTCTGGACAAGGCCACATACCTTTGTTGCGGTTCGGTCCCCAGCCCTGGTCAGGGTTATGCGGGAGGCGGCCAGTCAATGTGTGTCTGTCTGTCTCTCTCTCTCTCCTCCTTTCTCCTTCCCACTGTGTATATGAAAATAGATGGAAAAATGTCCTTGGGTGAGGATTTGGGAAAAAGAAATAAAAATAGGGACAAGTAAAATGACACAATAAAAAAGTAATATGACAAATACCCAAAAAGAGACATTTTATAAGACAGTGATTTTTATGAAAAAAGTAATGTTTTATATTTTTTCATGAAAAATGAGGAGGAACTAGTCTAGATTTAATGGAGAAATGAAAAACAAATGCATGCAACAAAAAATAAACTAAGGTACCTTGGAATAAATTTAACCAAGGAGGTAAAAGACCTGTACTCGGAAAACTATAGGATATTGAAGAAAGAAAATGAGAATGATACAAATAAGTGAAGCATATAGCGTGCTCATGGATTGAAAGAATTAACATCATTAAAATGTCTGTACTACCCAAAGCAATCAACAGAATCAATACAATCCCTATAAAAATACCAATGGCATTTTTCACAGATCTAGACCAAATATTCCAAAAATGTATATAGAACCAAAAAAGAACCTGAATAGCCTCAGCAATCTTGAGAAAGAAGAACAAAGTTGGTGCAATCACAATACCTGATATCAAACTATACTACAAGTCCATAGTAATCAAAACAGCCTGAAACTGGCATAAGAACAGGTATATAGATCAATGGAACAGAACAGAGAGCCCAGAAATCAACCCACATCTTTATGGTCAATTAATTTTTGACAAAGGAGGCAAGAACATACAATAGAGTAAAGACAGTCTTTCCAAAAATGGTACTGGGAAAATTGGACAGACACATGCAAAAAAAAAGCTAGACCACCAACTTACACCATATACAAGAATAAACTCAAAATGGATTAAAGACTTAAATATAAGTCACAAAACCATAAAACCCCTAGAAGAAAACATAGGCAGTAAAATCTCAGACATCTCTCATAGCATTATTTTTGCTGATTTATCTCCTAGTACAAGGGAAACAAAAGAAAAAATAAACAAGTGGGACTACATCAAACTAAAACGCTTCTGCACAGCAAAAGAAACCATCAATAAAATGTAAAGGGACCCCACTATATGAGAGAACATATTTGCCAATGATTCATCTGATAAGGGATTAATTTCCAAAATATAAAAAAACTTATATAGTTTAACATCAGGAAGAAAAACAGTCCAATTAAAAAGTGGGCAAAGGACATGAATAGACACTTCTCCAATGAGGACATACGGATGGCCAACAGACACATGAAAAAAAAATTGTCAACATCACTAATCATCACAGAGAGGCAAATTAAAACCACATTGAGATATCACCTCACACCTGCCAGAATGGCTAGTATCAATAAATCAAAACACAGCAAGTGCTGGCGAGGATGTGGAGAAAAGGAGACTCTAGTACAACGCTGGTGAAATGCAGACTGGTGCAGCCACTGTGGAAAACTGTATACAGCTTCCTCAAAAAGTTAAAAATGGAACTGCCTTTTGACCCAGTGATCCCACTTTTGGGAATATATCCTAAGAACACTGAAACACCAATTAGAAAGAGTATCTGTACCCCTGTGTTCATAGTAGCATTAGTTACAATAGCCAAGATCTGGAAACAGCCCAAGTGCCCATCAGTAGATGGATGGATAAAAAAGCTGTGGTGCATTTACACAGTGGAATACTACACAACTGTAAAAAAGAAGAATCTCTTACCTTTTGCAACAGTATGGATGGACTTGGAGACTATTGTGCTAAGTGAAATAAGCCAGTCAAAGAAAGACAAGTACCATACGATCTCACTTATATGTGGAATTTAACGAACAAAATAAACTGACAAACAAAACAGAACCAGAGGCATGGATACATGGATCAGACTGACAGCCGCCAGAGGGGAGGGGATGGGGGGACTGGATGAAGGAAGGTGAAGAGATTAGCTAAAGAACATGTGTGCGTAGCCTATAGACGCAGGACAACAGCGAGTTGATGGCCAGAGGGAAGGGGGGTGGGAGCTGGGTGGAGGTGGTCAAAGGGGTAGAAAATAGGGACATCTGTAATAGTGTCAACAACAAAAATGAAGTTTAGTAAAATAAACAAATGTGAAGTAGGCAGCCTATTGATGCTTTTCTCTCATATCAAGTTTCTATCTCTTTCTCTCTCTCAAAAAAAATCAATGAAAACATATTTTTTAAAAAAAGTTTTACCCAGCTGGTGTGGCTCAGTGGACTGAGCATCGGCCCATGAACGAGAGGTCCCGGTTCAATTCCCAGTCAGGGCACATGCCCGGGTTGTGGGCTTGATCCCCAGAAGGGGGCATGCAGGAGGCAGCCAATCAACGTTTCTCTCTCTTCCTCTCTCTGTAAAAAAAATTAATAAAAACATTTTAAAAAATAAAAAAGAAACAAATGCCATGTGTGAACCTTGATTAATTCTGGTTTGGGTAGGAAAAAAAGCTATAAAAGATATTCTAGAAACAATTGGAGAAATTTGAATATGCATTTTATGTTAGATGACACGGCATTATTGTTCATTTTTTTACTTTGATAGTAGTCACGTGGTTGTGTATGAGATCTATGCTTACAAGATGTGTGCTAAAGCACGGAAGGGTTAAGGGTCATGACGTTACTGTCAAATCTAGATAGAGCACATGATGTGCTCAATGTGCTCTTCTTTGAACTTTTCAATATGTTTGAATGTTTTATATATAGACTATATACTCAAATATATACATATATACTATATATCTCTATAGTTCATTGTGGAGATATGTAGAGATATATAGAAAGGAGGGCCCTGGCCAGTTTGGCTCAGCGGTTGGAGTGTCGGCCTGCGTAACAGAGAGACCCGGGTTCGGTTCCCGCTAAGGGCACGTACCTCGGTTGCAGTTTGTCCCCGGCCCTGGTTGGTTGTGCGGGTGGCAGCCACTCGATGTGTCCCTTCACATCGATGTTTCTCTCTCTCTCTCTTCCTCTCTCTCCCTCCCACTCTATCTGAACAAAAAGTGGAAAAATGTCCTCGGGTGAGGATAAATAAATAAATAAATAAATAGGAGGGAGCTGACTTTTATTCTTTGAGAAGAAAAGTTATGGAAGCACTGCCTGGCTGGTGTGGCTCAGTGGTTGAGCACTGACCCATGCACCAAGAGGTCGCCAGTTTGATTCCCAGTCAGGACACATGCCAGGTTGAGGGCCTGATCCTCAGTGGTGGGCATGCAGGAGGCAACCAATCGATGTTCTCTCTCATTGATGTTTCTATCGCTCTCTAAAATCAATAAAGAAAAAAATTTTAATAAAAAAAAGTTATGGAAGCACTAAATAATTTTTAAAGAACTAATGAATTAAATTTTCCCTTTTCTATTTTAGGCTCAAGAAAAAGGAAGATTAGACTATGCTAAGGTAGGTAGATTGTATTTATACTACACAGTTTTATATATTTTAGTTTGGTGTTTGGTTTTTGTTTATATTTGAAAGGTAAAGGAATAATCACCTTCAAAGCTGAGGGATATTTCCTGTAAAGCATCAGGCAGTAGCAGGTAAAATAAGATTGATTCAACAGTAAGTTTATTGAGTGCCTGCTTCATTCCAGACACCATGCTCAGTCTTGGGAGCACAACAGTGAGCCAGATTCAGTCTTTTGTTCAAGACGTTTATGATCTAGTTGGGGAGACAGATAACTAATAAAAAACTAAATGGATACATAATATAATGTCAGGTGAGAGTAGTGCTGTGAAGAAAAAAACAAACAGGGTAAGTAAGGTCCAGAAGCGTTGCTGGAAAGATGCCTGCGGCCGGTGGTTGGCAGAGAGTGGTTAGTGCCACAGATCATTCGACACACAGCCTCGGTTAAAACTTGCTTGGGGTGTTCAGATTTCAGTTTACCAGGGACGCCTAGGAACACGCTTGGGTCACATTCGTTTCCCCCTCGAGGACAAATGGCACATTTTAGCAGGTGTGTGGGATGCCTAGCTAAAGGAACATGGTAAGCATCTGGTTTGTGCAACAGCAGTAATAGAGCCAGGGTGTGAGCACACCTGCACTCCAAGACAGGGAGGAAAAACTACGATCTGTAAGGGTTCTGCTTGCAGGGGGCGCTGAATCCCACAGCGCTCTCAGGGCTGACCCGGACCCTGGCCCTCCTGGCCGCCCCGAGGCACGCACGGGGGCCCACGCCTGTACTCTGTTCCTTTCCTTGCCTGAAATGCAGTCCCTCCTTTTCTGTTTCACAAATTTTGCCTCCTTCAAGAAAAATGAGATAATAGGAGCATTGTATCTGTGACTTTGGACTTCCATATCTGTCACTTTGTCTCAGATGTCTACTTGAGTCTTATCATATACCCAAATGTGGGTTGTGGACATATCCTCGTGGGTCTCCCACAGGCAAGAGCTCAGTGCGTCTTAAACAGAACTCAGCATCTTCCCAGACATCTCTGGTCTCTTTACTTTTTTTTTTTTTTTTATCCTCACCCGAGGATATTTTTCCATTTTTTGTACAGATAGAGTGGGAGGGAGAGAGAGGAAGGGAGAGAGAGAGAGAAACATCGACGTGAAGGGACACATCGAGTGGCTGCCACCCGCACGACCAACCAGGGCCGGGGACAAACTGCAACCGAAGTACATGCCCTTAGCGGGAACCGAACCCGGGTCTCTCCGGACCACAGGTGGACGCTTTAACCGCGGAGCCAAACTGGCCAGGGCCTCTTTACTTTTTTAATAGACTATTTTTTAGAGCAGCTTTAGGTTCACAGCAAAATTGAGCTAGAAGTATAGAGTTCCCACCCAACCACACACACGCACAGCCTCACCCACTATCAGTATTCTGCAGCAGAGGGGTATGTCTGTTACAGTCCATGCACTTACATGGACACAGCATTGTCACCCAAAGTCCACCGTGTGCATTAGGGTCCACTTTTAGCGTTGCATCTCTGGTCTCCTGCTGTTGACACTGGCATCCCACCAGTCAGCCTAGAGTGCTCTTTCTCCCTTCCTCCTGTCATGCCAGTTCTATGTCCTACATTTTCTTGACTCCAACCCCCGCTCTGATCTTCCTTCCATTGCTCAGTGTAAGGCTCTTCATCTGAACCACTGGAAAACCTACCGACGGGTCTCCCTGCTTCTCCGTGTCCTTGCAAATCTGTTACCACTCACAATGTCTAAACCACAAATCTCACAGTTTCACACTCCAGCTTAAAACCCTTCATTAGCTCCATGTTGTCGGTAAAGCAGTTTCAGAGCTTGCTAGACTGGGGCTGTGTGATCTCACTCCCAGAGGGACGCTCCCGCTTCTCCTCTACCCTCTGCAGCACCAAATTACACAAAACACGCTGCTTCTGTTCTTTATGCCTTGACTCACACTGAACCCTCTGCTTGGAATGCTTTTTCCCATTTATTTATTTATTTATTTATTTATTTATTTATTTATTTATTTTTATTGATTTTAGAGAGCAAGGAAGGGAGTGGGAGAGAGAGATAGAAACATGGATGAGAGAGAACATCTATTGGCTGCCTCCTACATGCCTTGCACTGAGGATTTGGCCCACAACCTGGGCATGTGCCCTGACCAGGGATCGAACTGGCGACCTCTTGGTGCATGGGTTGATGCTCAAGTACTAAGCCACACCGGCTGGGTGCTTTTCCCCCTTTATCTGGCTCCTCCTGCTCCTCCAGTAAGGCTTAGTTTAGGATCATGTCCTGTAGGAAGTCCTCCCTGGTTCCCAGCCTGGACGAGGTGCATTCCTCCAGTCTTCAGTACATTGTGGATCTCTCAGTCACTGGCTTACTCTGATATCATGAGCCGTTTGTGAGACAGATCATAGACTGTGAGCTCTTTGAGGGCAGGGACAGTGTCTTATTTGTCTTTGTACACTTGGTACCTAACAGTGCCTGGCACTTGTCAAATGGTGTGTGAATGAGTGAGTGAGTGAGGCCGTGAGTAAGAAAATAGAAGACACATGAAGTTAGCTGCAGGAGGAAATCTGGCACAGTCGTCCCTCGTTTATCGTGGTTAATTTGGTCCAGACTCTAGCGGTTGCACCTGGCATTGAAGGATTCCTGGGGTGCTCGAATACATAGGCCCACAGTCCATACGTACAGTAATTTTAATTTTAGTTGTAATACAGGGCTGTATAATTGACTCACAACCAAGCACGCGCTGTATTGTTTTCACTGTCTTGATCAACTTTTTAATCAATATATTTGAAAAAACTGCGATAGAGTGAAGCTGCGAAAGTCAAAGCGCGAAGTGGCAGGGACGACTGTCGGGTTTGTATCTCAATCAGAGAGGAAAGGAAAGCTTGGACACATGTTGCAGGAATCAGCCAGATTGGACGGCTGCTGAGGAAGGCTGTGATAAACTAGTGTGGAGATAAAGGCTGGGATTTCACTGTGATAGTAAGAGAAAGCTAATTTATGAAGGAAAAGACATCACAATTTGGCAGTCGAGTAACTGTTGATCATTGACTCTTGTTTATGACTCAGAGAATTCCTTTAGGGTTTCTTTTGGCAGAAGCACATGACAATGAAAAAGTTTTGAAGAAAAGAAAAAAATATGGTGCCCAGATCAACCAACCAACTCCCTGCAAAATCTGATATCAGTCACTTGACCTCCTTAGTCTTCTCTCAGTTTCTTTAGTATAAAACGAGCAATTTAGAGCCGTGCTGCTTTACCCCTTAGGCCCATTCCAAATCTGAGAGGAGACATTGGGTGGGGGCGGGGCATTCTTATCTTGTGTGCTTCTGAGGTCCAGATGCCTTCCTTCATCCCCCTCGTCCCCCGACACTGTGTGTGACATTGGTGCGTGTGCGGCAGGTGCGGGCGCTGGCTGCCACCGCGACCAGGCTGGCACAGGCCTGGCCGGCACTCTCCTGCACTCGGACCCTAGCTGGAGGAGCCACTCCCCACTGCCCTTTTGTTTTTCTTCTTAACATTTATCATTTTTATTCCGTTGTGTGTGTTTTTCTTCTTCTACTAGATTGTCAGAGCCCTGAAGGCACGGGGACTCTCTGCTCCTGGCCGCATCCCCTGCACCCAGCACAGGCTCACGTGTAGGAGGGCCTGGTGTGCGTGTGGATGAGTGTGGCATCCGTGTTATGCTAGGAGAAGTGCAGGACACCATGAGAACTCTGGACTCAAGAACTGTAGGCTCAAATTGGCCTTTTAAAGAGTATATTGACTATATAACACAGTCCATTCCATGTCCAGGAGCCCTACGTTGACCTTCCCAAGTGCCCAGTGACAATATTTCTCATGCAGTAAAACAGAAACCCACCACCCTGGCATAGGTGGCGATAGTCTGAAAGTTAAGGGCATAACTTTAGGTAATTAATCCAGGCCTGTAATCCTCACACAGACCTAAACCCAAGTCACATGGGGAAGAAAGACTGTATCCGTCTCTGCTGAGTATGGAGGAGGCGTAGGTGCAGCTGCGTATCCTCTTACGTGGTGTACACATCACGACCTAAAGTCGACTCATCTCTTATTTTGTGTGGTCACGGCACTCATACTGACCACTGCAAGCACCACATTTGAAATTCAGTGGCCATTTCTAGAGACCGTCATGAAATTTATTTGTGGCTGGAAATTTCTTTATGGCCAAGTTGTGAGTCTGTATTCAAAAGCAAGATTTTATCTGAAAAAATAGGTTTCAAGGACCATACGAGATCGTTATGGCCGTGTGCTTTGTGGCTGTAGGATGCCACCTCTGAGATTTTGTTATTCTCAGAAGGACGAGGCCGTGGGGGGAGGGCAGGAGAGGGACTGTTTCAAAAGCAGTCCTAGCAGGACCTGGAGGATGTCTGTCACATTCAGCACAACAGTGAGCTGTATTCACACACGCAGATAAGAAACTGAATTACTTCTCCATTGAGTCCTGTTGCAGTCGAGCCTGGATATGAATGTCTTACACGGCCTGCAGTGCCTTTCATCTGAAGATATCAAAGCACTTGACAGCTGTTAATTCATTAGGTCTCTCCCGCCTCTGTAAGGTGGAACAGGCGCATAGGAGTGCTCTGCCCACGCCTGAAACTTGTCCAACCAGGGGCTGCGCAGGGAAGGTCGCTGCTTAACTGGAAGGCGATTCTGCCCAGTAGCTTTCAAAATGGAAACACAGGAAACAGCTTACCTACCAAGTTAAAACTGCAGGATGAGTTCCATTAGAATGTAGTTACCAGAAATGCATTGTGACCAAGGAGCAGGTGCTCACAGTTTCGCTCACATGCACAATGCCATGGGGATCTTAATTACCGCGATTGGTCTGCAGCCCAGGTGTGTATGTCTCAGACTGTGCCATGCTCCGGGGGCTTCTGGCCACCAGGGTAAGCACGGGTGATTCCGTTCCGTGCTAGAGGGAAGAGTGCCACCTATCGAACTGTAGGAATGTGTGGCCATGTGTTGGGACTGG